TTTAATGCGAACCACAAGTTCGGCAGTTCAAACCCACCAGCTGCTCCTCGGAGCCCCTGTACAGGGTCTCTGTGAGCCAGAACTGACTTTACAGCACTTAATAGTGACAACAATCCAGTCTTCTGTGGGTGGGGCCCCAGGCACCTGCTCAGTCCTTTAGTAGGAGTTAGGACGAGGACGGCTACAAGAGTCATATTAAGTAATTCACTGCGACACACTGGTGGAGATAATCACATCTTTGTTCCTCTCATTTTCTAGTTGGGTAACTATTGTCTAAGGGACCGATCCCCCACATTGCCTACCAGCTTAGGGCTTCTTTCACGCCACAGACGCTGTAGAAGTGAGTCATGTGTAGGAAATGTTAAGGCCAATAAACCCCCCATTCATGCACACTTTCTGCTTCACTGACGATTGTGGATTGAATTGTTCCCTAAAAATATGTACTGTAAATCTTAACCTCTGTGCCACCGCTCGTCTGTCACTTTGTCACACTGTGGTGTCTTGCGTGTTGCTATGATGCTGGAAGCTATGTGACGTATTTCGAATTATCGGCAGTGTCACCCAAGGCTGACACATTTCAGCTGAGCTTCCAGATAACAGCCGACTCGGAAGACACTGAGGCGGACTCCTGAATGTTTAGCAATTGAAAATCTTACAAATAGCAGTGTAACACTATCCGATAGCACCAGGACATGATGAAGAGCCCCAGAATATAGTCAGATAGAGTGCCGGAAGATGAGCATCTCAGGAGCAACTAGTCCCTGGAGAGGGACATCATGCTTGGTAAAGTGGAGGGGTAGCGAAAAAAAAGGGAGACCCCAGTGAGATGGATTGGCACAGTGGCAGCAGCATGGGATCCAATGTAGCAGCAATTGTGAGGATGGCATAAGATTGTGCAGGCTTTCGTTTGGTTGTGCATAGTCACTTGTGAGTCAGAAACAAGTCAACAACCACTTTGCCTGTGGTTATAATCCCATTTGGGAACGGGTTGTGTCTGTTAGTGATACACGATGGTTGTAGGATGTATCTTGACTCATTCTCATTTGACATATGTTGTTGTTGTTAAATGCCATCGAGTGGGTTCTGACCCATAGCGACCCTGCATAGGGTTTCCGAGGAGCAGCTGGTGAGCTTGGACCACCGAACCAACTTTGCAGTCCAGCGCATTAAGCCTGCAATGCCACACCGGGACTTGTAGGGATATAAGGAGATTTAAAAAGCAAGCCAGTAAGCAGAGATGGAGAAAGAAAGATGCCAAACCAGGTGGCGATCTCCAGGGAAGCAGGGACCAGGAGCTGAAGAGACGAAGTGCTTACCCCAGAGCTGACACAGAGAGAAAGACGTTCCCTACAGCTGGTGCCCTCCATTAGGATTTCTGGTTTCCCAGACTGTGAGAAACTAAGGTCTCTGTCGAAGTCATTCACCTGTGGCATTTCGGTCAAGGCCGCATGTCTTGGTTCTCCAGTACTTACTTGTATGTCAGAAATACCACACGTGCTTGGTTTTAACTCACAGAGCTGTGTGCTCTCACAGTTTAGGAGGATGTTGTGAAGTGCCGAGGAGCAGGTCCTAACTCATACCAACCCTGTATAAGGTTTCCCAGGAGTAGCTGGTGAGTTTGAACCGCTGACTGTGCAGTCCAGTACTTTATCCCACAGCACCACCCCGGGACTCTTTAGGAGATAGATACAAGTGCCGGCTCTGGGGGAAGGAAGGGTTTCTCTCTCTGTCAGCTCTAGGGACTCTTTCAACAGCTCTAGACCCAGCTTTCCTAGGAGGGAGGTCTCCATGTGTCTGCCCCTGGATCTAGGAGCTTCACAGCGCAGGGACCCAGGCTCAGAGGATGCTCTTCACTCTTGGCTGTTTTTCTTTCTTGGTTGTAGCAGGTCCCTCCAATCTCTGCTAGAGTCTCTTTCCTCTTATCTCTTGTAGATAAAAGGTGTTTCAGGCCACACCCTGGGCAACCCTTCTTTACACAGGATCAGTGCTGTGAGGAGTTTCAGGGCGTTGCACCCACCCTCGATCCTTTATTGGTTTAATAACATCAGGTCATATCGTGAGAGATCCCCCGATAGCACAGTGGAGTACGACTGTACTGCTAATCTCAAGGTCCGTGTTTCTGATCTACCAGTCGCTCCCTGGGAGAAAACTGAGGCTTTCTCCTCCCATAAAGATTTGTAGCCTGGGAAACCCTATACAGGGTCACTGTGATTCGGAACTGACTCCACAGCACTCATTCACACACACACACACACACACACACACACACACACACTGCATCATTACATAAACAGATAAACCACTGAGATTGTGGTCTAGTCAGCTTGATACATGTTTCCTTTTGGGATATGATTCAATCCATGATATTTCACCGTTTGGCACCTAAAAATTTTTGCCCTTTGCAAGTCACTTTCACCCATCAGACTGGTCTGACTCACAGTGATCTGTCTCACAGAAGAACGAAGCACCACGCAGTCCTACGTTAGCCTCACAATTGCTGTATGAGCTCACAGTTGCAGCCACTATTGTCTTTTTTTTTTTTAAGTTTTTGTTGTGGATTGAGTGAAAGTTTACAAGGCAGATCACCAGTTTTACATTCAACAAATCATACACCTTGTTTCATTACAATAATTATAATCCCCTCCATGTTCCATCAGTTACCAGTGTTTCTCTCTATTCACTTTAGCTTTTTTTTTTAAACACTCAGGCATATATAATAATGTACTCCACCAAAGAGCACATTCTGCAAGTCTGTCTCCTGGCCACCATCTCTCAGTCTCTCTCTTTCCATGAATCTAGAGTCCTCAGCTGCTCCCTGTCTCCATGTTCCCATCTCTGCCTCCTTCTCTGGTGTTGCTGCTTCTCTGGATAAGGTCTCACATTCCAATTGTGCTCTTCTCCCTTGATGGTCCTAGGGTCCTCTGGTTCTGGATTGTAAAATTAACCATTCCCCTGTTTTTGTTACAAAGCTTCTACCTTTACAATTGTGAGAGTTGCAATTAGTCATGATAACAATTACTCACTGTTGAATCGTAAGAATCTTATCCCCATCTCTTTTAACAAGACCCATCTGGACAAGATGAAAACTATTCAGTGGGGACTCTTTCTTTCCCCACACACTATTAAACTAAGCTCCCCCTTGAAACCTTGTAAGCCAGTCACTTCATGCCTTTATCGCCCCCTCATTTTAGGTGGCCAGTGTCTAAGTTGCCCGTCCCTATCTACCCTGTGTACAGAGGGAATAGCATTGATACTTGATGTGAAGACTCCTTCCCTCTCTTTTGGTGTTTAGAGTTACTACCTCCATGAGTATAGGTCAAATTCATCAAATTGTAGCAATTTACCCTTGTTTCCTTTATCAAAATTTATTTGTTTTTTGTTCGTTTGTTTGTTTGAATCTTCCTTTAGTGCCCGTTCTGATTATCAAGCCATCAAAGCTAGGTCAAATGGATGTATTGTCTTTTTCACTTTACCAAGCATGATGTCTAACTCTAGGAACTGGTCTCTCCAAAGTATGAGACATGGAATCTCTCCATGCTGGCTTCTAAGAACATTCCGGCTGTACTCCTTCCAAGACAGATTTGTTTGTTCCTCTGGCAGTCCACGGTACGCAGTGTTCTTCACTAACACAATAATTAACTGCACTGATTTGTCTACACTCTTCGTTAATTCATTGTCCAACTCTCACATGCATTTGATTAAAAATACCATGGCTTGGATCAGGTGCATCTTAGTCCACTAACTGACTTTTTGCCCTTTAGCAGTTTTAAGAGGTCTTATGCAGCAGATTTTTCTAATACAGTACGTCATTTGATTTCTTGCCTGCTTTTTCCGGGAGTGTTGATCGTAGAGTCACGTGCAATGAAGCTTCAGTCTTTTCTCCATATATCATGATGTTATTTATTAGTCCATTTGTGAGGATTTTTGTTTTCTTTACATTGAAGCGCAATCCCTAATGAAGGCGGTAATCTTTAATCTTCATTATAAGGATCTTAAGCCCTCTTTGCTTCCAGCAAGCAAGGTTGTATCCTCTGCGAATCACAGGCGGTTAACGAGCCTCCAATCCTGATGCCCCATTCTTCATATAGCCCACCTTCTCACACTTGCTCAGTGTACAGATTGAACAAGTATAATGAAAGGACTCTGGCACACACCATTCAGTGTCCTTCCTTCCATTCAAACGACTGCCTGTTGGTTTATGTACAAGTTCCTCATGAGTACAATCAAGTATTCCGGAGTTCCCATTCACCAAAATGTTATCCATAGTTTTATATGGAACTTAGATTCCAACACAACATCAGATCATGTTCTACTTCTGTTTATAAGATTTTCCGTGGCTAACCTAGTGGTTACGAATTGGGCTGCGAACCTTAAGGTCAGCGGTTCGAAACTACCAGCAGCTCCGCGAGAGAAAGATGAGGCTTTCTACTCCCGTAAAGATTTACACCCTCGGAACAACAACAACCTTTCAGAAGTTTTCCACTTCTTTTTACTAGTCTGTCTTAGTCCGGAAGCTCTGCTGAAACCCGTCCACCGTGAGTGACCCTGCTGGTATTTAAAATACCGGTGACAAAGCTTCCAGCATCCTAGCAACAGACAAGCTACCACAGTACAACAAACTGACAGATGAGTGGTGGTCACCTGTCATATCATCCCTAAAGGCTTCCAAGTTCCAGTTTCATCATGAGCCAAATTTTCTCTTTATTTGTAAATTTAGAATACAAATGAACTGCTTCCAAACCACAACTGCCGGACCAGGTACAAGGTACAAGGTAGCCATTTCCATTACACCTGGGAGCAATTTCAGGGAAACATAAATAACTGGCACCAAGCAAGTTAAAAAGCCGACAAAGCAATTCACATTAGCTTTCAAAGCTTCAAAGCTCTCTTCTGTTCTCTGAGACTGTCTCCATGATGGCCGTGCCCTCCAGGCTACAGTTGTTGGCGTTCTGGGTTCTAGGCAGAGGCCCTTTAACTCTGGGCTTCACTCTACCTTCCAGGCCCATCCCACTCCCCCACCCCCCAAACGGCAAGTCTGCACCGTCAGCTTTGATTGGATCATGACATCTCTGCCGTGTGACATCATTACAGAAGTGGTAAACCACTGACTCTCATGGCTCAGTCATGATGCGTAGTTTGGGGGACACAGTTCAGTCCATGACATAGCACTACTTAGATAACTAAGACCCTTTGGTACCAAGAAGTGTGGGCACTGCTCTAACAAACACCTCCAATGAGGAAATGGATTTGGAATTGGGTAATTGGTGGAGGCTGGACACGTTTTCAGGTGCTTTGCAAAGACTGTTGGTACAATTATGAATGTGAAAAACAGTTCTGAAGAAAGCAAGACGCGGCCGAGAGAAAGACTGATGTATGTCGTAGAAAAATTACACAACACCAGGACTCAAATGCTCTGGAAAAGTGCCCGTTCAATGTGCCTCTGGTGAGACCGTAAAAGAAAACAGTGGATGTCATTTTACTGGAGGGAGAGCAGTGGTTTCTAATGCAAGACAAAGAACTTGTCTGAATTATGTTCAAATGTTTGGTAGAAGATAGAACTTGTAAATGATGAACTTCGATATCTGGTTGATGAGATTTCTAAGCAAGATCTTAGTGGAACAGTGTGATTTCCCTTTGCTCGTTAGAGTGAAATATGAGAAGAGATGACTTATGAATGAACTGTGTAAAATGAATCCAAAACTTAAACAGATTGGGAAAATTCTTTTGTGCAGAGACACGTGTCCTTGAATATTCACCAAGGACATCTGACCTCGTCTGACTTTATGATGGAGAAAGAATCTGCACCAGCCCAAGGCTGACTCTTCTGCGGCGGCCGTCAGAGCTGCCTCCACCCTCCAACCACTGTAAGAGTCCTGTGATACCAGTGGTCTCTCTCACCACACTCTTGACTTCTTAGCTGGGTGTGACAACTCACTGCAAAGGCCACACAGAGCCCACAGTTCCTGGGGAAGTGCCAAGTGACAATTCAGGATGCACTTCCTCAATCAGGACTCACTAGTAATAAGTCTCGGTGTGCAGGCGCCCAGTTTGAACTCCTGGGTTGGCAGACCTAGCTGCCCAGATGAGTACCCAGAGGCACGCGGCTTGGCCAGCAAGCCTCCTGCCCGAAGGCACTCAGTGTTCTCTCCCGGGGCCCGGAAGCCCACCACTCTGCCATGCTCTTGGCTCTGCCATTCCTGGGCCCCAGCTTCTCCTGCCCCTCGCTGGTTCTTATGCCACAGCTCTTCATCTCCTGGGTCGAGGAGGTTGGGTCCAAACGACGCTCTCCACCCCTGGCCCTTCTCCCTCGGTAGTGATGAGAGCCCCCGCCCCTAGAATGGCTCTTTTTCAACTTAGCAGAATGTCAGCCGAGTAACCCCACATTAGGCTTTCTTTTCATAGACTCTGTAGGAGAAACACTAGATGGCAAACCACAAGTCCAGTGTTCGAGCCCACCAGCCGCTCCTTAGGAGAAAGATGAGGCTTTCTGCTCCGACAACGATTTATAGACTCTCAAACCCTACAGGGTCATTGTGAGTCAGAACCGACTCCTCAGCATTTAGAAACAACTATCTCCGTGAAGTTCCCATTTATTATTAGCGAGCTGTCCAATCCTCCTTGTGGACCACAAACTCCATATTTGTATAATCTTGCCCAATTATTTAGTGGGAACTACGACACGATGCCCAGTAGGACCATAGGCTTGTACAGCTGACCCATTATACCGCAACGGGTTACTACAAATCATGCTGACATGAAAATATTGGTACATGTGTTGGGGGGGTCACATGTGCACTCGCTGTGAAGGGATATATATTTTTTACATTGTTTTTTGAAAGTATATGTAAAATTTTAAACAGGTGATTCTTAAGTGTTTTCTAAAGTGAATTTACAACTTTATGGTTGCCCCAGCAGAATAGTCTTCAGCTGATACAATCCTCTATGTGGTAGGTCTAGAATATATTTTCAGATCCTTTCGTCCAACCAAACAAAATGCTGCTGTGTCCTGAGCCAAGTTCACATGTGGGCCGTGTCTAAGTCCATTATGGAGGCCACTGCATTAATCCATTCCATGGAGGGTCTTCCTCTTTTTCACAGACCCTCCACTTTACCAAGCATGGTGTCCTACTCCAGAGACTAGTTCCACTTGATGGAGTCCTGGTATGGCACTGTAGGATAAGCACTGGACTGCTAACCAAAATGAGCATGGTTCTAACACACCAGCTGCCCCTTGAGATCTCTGTACAGGGTCTCTGTGAGTCAGAACTGGCTGACAGTACTTAACAACATTGATGTAAACTTACCTTCTTCCAGTTTCATTGGTTCAACATTCCCACTGTGAACCACACTTGACAATGAATTGATGTTTTTTGTGAGGTAGGGACCAAGTGTTTTCTTCTTTCACATGTAAAGCTGATCGTTGATGTGCGATTTTTTAAAGACATCTGTCTTTTACCCATATCTCCTCAAATTCTGATTGTTAAGTTTGATTGCCTATAGGTGTAAAATGTATTGAGTCACCAGATAAGGCACAGCCCACAGTACTGGGGGATCCATCACAGCATGGGGATCCACCTCCAGATAATGTATCACTCACGACAGATTTTCCCATCAGCCTTCAGGTCCTAACACCCCAGCAACAAGAAATCACGTGGAGGAAAGAGGAAGAGGTTGCAGACAGACAGCATCTCAGTTTCTGCCGTGTCTGAAGAGCAAAAGAAAACGATGCAGGCTCAGGTGACTTTTGGGTTGTTTTATGCTCTTGTCTGTTCCCTAGTAGATTGGTGGAGGCCTGCGCAATACCAGATCACTTCATCGGCGAATGCAAATGTGAAAATGTAGACACTAACTCTGACTTCAACATCAGTTTGTTTTATGCTCTTGTCTGTTTCCTAATGGATTTATAGAGACCTGCGCAATACCAGATCACTTCATTGGGAAAGTACAAATGTGAAAATGTACACACTAACTCTGACTTCAACATCAGGTTATGTAAGATGGGGAATGTATTGTTCTTGGCTTTACCACTAAAGTATTGACACCACATTGGGTTAGATTAGCTTTCAATTTGAAATGCGTATTTCTCTGGACAACTCAAGAGAATATATATATAAATGCTATGTCTACTTTTTAAGGAGAAATAAGATCAGTTTCTTGGTGGGAGTAGGTGGGTGGGAAGGGGTGACTTCAATATTCCGTGGGTCTTTTTGCCTCAGTAAATTTCTTTACTGTTTCTTTCGGGAGGTGATGTGTTGGGCAATACCGTGAACACCAACATTGGAACAGATGCATCTATAATAGGACTAGAAGTGATAGTGTTATAAAAACGGGGGTGGCTTACAACTGCCTCTGAGTATAGGAGGTATTGTTGTTGTTCGGTGCCATCGAGTTGGTACCAACTCATAGCGAACCTGTGTACAAGCGAACAAAACACTGCCTGGTCCTGGGCCAACCTCACAAATTGTTGCTACACCTGAGTCCATGGCTGCTGCCACTGTGTAAGTCTGTCTTGTTGGGGGTCTTCCTCTTTTTCTCCAACCTTCCATTTTACCAAACTTAATATCCTTCTCCAGGGACTGGTCCCTCCTGATAATATGTCTAAAGTATAAGAGATGAAGTTTGGCCATCTTGGCCTCCAGGGGGCGCTCTGACTGCACTTCTTCCAACACAGATCTGTTGGTTCTTTTGGCAGCCCATGGCACTTTCAATATTCTCCTCCAACACCATAACTCAAAAGCATCAATTCTTCTATGGTCTTCCTTATTCACTGTCCAGCTTTCGCATGCATATGAGGTTATTGAAAATATCATAGCTTGGGTCAGGCACACCTTAGTCCTCAAGCTGACATCTTTGCTCTTCAACACTTTAAAGAGGTCTTGTGCAGCAGGTTTGCCCAATGCAATACGCCGTTTGATTTCTTGACTGCTGCTTCCATGAGTGTTGATGGTTGATCTGAGAAAAATGAAGTCTTTGACAACTTCGATCTTTTCTCCATTTGTATGAATGTTGTTTATTGGTCCCGTGGTGAGGATTTTTGTTTTCTTTACATTGAAATATAACCCATGCTGAAGGCTGTGGTGTTTGATCTTCATCAGTAAGTATTTTAAGTCCTCTTCACTTTCAGCAAGCAAGGTTGTATCGTCTGCATATTGCAGGTTGTTAATGAGTCTTCCTCCAAACCTGACGCCACGTTTTTCTTTATATAATCCAGTTTCTCAGATTATTTGCTCAGCATACAGATTGAATAAGTATGGTGAAAGAATACAACCCTAGCACACACCTTTCCTCATTTTAAATCATTTGTTGTTCCCTTGTTCTGTTCTAACAACTGCCTCTTGGTCTATGCACACGTGCCTTATGAGCACAATTAAGTGTTCCAGAATACTCATACTTCGCAATGTAGTCCATAGCTTGTCATGATCCACACAATCAAAGGCCTTTGCATAGTCAATAAAGCACAGGTAAACAACTTCCTGGTATTTTCTGCTTTCAACCAAGATCCATCTGACATTCAGCAATGATTTCCCTTGTTCCACATCCTTTTCTAAATCCAGCTTGAACCTCTGTAAGTTCTCTGTCAGTGTATGCTTGCAGCCGTTTCTCTATTACCTTCAGTGAAACTTTACTCTCATGGGATATCAAAGAGATTGTCCAATGATTTCCACATTCCATTGGGTCACCTTGCTTTGGAATGAGTACAGATACGGATCTCTTCCAATCTGTTGGTCAGGTAGTCGTCTTCCAAATTTCTTGGGGTACAGGGGCAGGAAAGAGAATCACCATCAACATGAGCCCGTACTTGATTCCTGTGAGGTAGAGGTCAAACATCGCCGCTATCTTCAGTCTTTGGGCTCGGACAGCGGTGTCCTTCCGCAGCACTGGCTACTTCTCAGCTCTGCACAGTGATCTGTTGCAGTGGTCACAGGTCTGTAACTCCTAGACCATGGTCATGGTTGGAGTGTCTGTTAGAAGAGAACAACAGGCTACAGGTTGGGATCAACACACACAGGCAGAGCCGCTCTGCAGTGCAGGCCAGCTCTCTCTGCCCCTTTCAGTCACGGAGGGCACAGTATGGCCCTCTGAAAGGATGGTCCTCTCAGCCTCTGTCCTAAGGACAGTCTCCTTTTGGTTCCCTCAGGACAGGTTCCCCTTGACTCTGTCCATCAGTCACTGCTAACTTGGTTAAAGGGCCCCTTCTTGTCCTGATGCCACAGGCTCTTTCTGGGCCTGGTGCCATCTTCAGTGGTACAGCATTGGACCCGGATTACAGCTCTTATAGGAGTCCTGGTGTGGCATCCTAGGATAAACACTTGACCTCAAGGTCAGTTTGAGCTGCAAGGTTGATGGTTCAAACTCACCAGCTGCTCCTTGGAAACCCTATACAGGGTCGCTGTGACTCGGAACCGACTTGACGGCACTCAACAAGAAACAGCTCTTATAAGAAGGTCCTTTGCATCTTTTCTCTCTCCTTTCTTCATCTTCCAATTGCTTCTCTGTGACAAATCTGTGTGTGGTTGGCTGTGTATATCTACAACACCTCCTTAATTTCAGCGTGTGGCCAGCCCAGTGGACCTCGAACCACCAATCCCCACTTGGTAGCCCACACACTTCATTTGCAAAGTGGATTAGAGACACTTCATCTGCAGTAATTGCATGAATAGTTTCTTTTTGAAGGATCACCACTAGGCTGGTCCCTATGAGGTAGAGATTAACGATTTTCCTTCATTCCCTGCGGTGCCTCACACAACACTGTGGTTACCACTCCTGCTAACTGCTCCTAGTCCAAGTGCATGATCTGTTGTTATCTGTTCGTGTATCTCCACATGCGTTTCTCTAGTAGGTTTGTGTGTGTGTGTGTGTGTGTGAATACTTGTGAATTATTTCTAGTTTACAAAGACAATTCCACTGCTACATCTAGAAGTCTCCTTTGATGAGTGGATGGTTTATGAAATGCACAAATTCAGAATAGCTTGTTACAATTTTGCTTTGTCTATAAAATACTAAAGAGGATCTGGGTCTATACATGCCGCTGCCTAGATAGAGGAAGTGAGCATTATAACTTCCCTCACTTTTTCTTCATGGCATCGACTGGACAACTGTTCCTCTTCACACAGGACTCACTGACGTTCCGCGACGTGGCTGTGGAGTTCACCCAGAAGGAGTGGCAGCTCCTGGCCCCTGCTCAGAAGGCCCTATACCGGGACGTGATGCTGGAGAACTACAGCCACCTGGTGTCCCTGGGTAAGGACAGCTCCCCTGTCATTGGCCCTGTCATTGGCCTTTCCTTTGTTGCCTCGGAAATCATGGGAGTGTCTGTGATGCTCTGAAGAGGCAGACTCTCAGTCCACACCCTGGCTCTAGATAAGTGGGTATCTTCGCCATACTTCTGGTAGAAAAATAGGTTTCGTTTGTATGATTTAGCATTGTTTTTTCATAAAGTTCCAAACCCAAGGCCATTTTGATGTGTAACATTCTGTGATTTCCCATGAACCAGGGTATCAAGCTAAGAAACCAGATCCAGTCCCCAGATGGGAACATGGAGAACAACCGTGGATTATGGTGGATGAAAAGCACCAGGAAATTTTTTCACACGGGTGTGTGAAAAGAGGTAAGAAGGGGACTCGAGTTCCAGTGAGAGAAGGTGTCACATCTGTGCAGGGTGCCCGACAGATAGAAGGGTCTCCACGCCTCCCCCTTCCATGTGAGACCTTTCTCTTTGGGGGAGTTTAGAGAATTACATGTTCTCTTTTGAGATCAGATCCCCCATTTGTTTGACATACTATTTTTTTTCCATTATCTTTTTCTCTAATTTTTCTGCAGCTTTTCTCTGTCTCCTGGGTTAGGAGGTTCTCAGGGCAGCGACCCGGATCCAGAGGACACATTCCGCTCTGGGTGCTTCTTGGTGGCAGTGAGATATTCTTCCTACTCTGGGATTGGCTCCTTTTAGTCCAGCGGGATGTCAGAGCTGATCCGTCCTCTACACGGGTTCTGTGGACCTTGTTTGCATAGCCCCACCCACCCCTGCAGAGGCTCCATGCACTGTACTCGCTGCGTCTGCATTCGTAGCAGACTGTCCACGTCCTGTGGTGGCCACAGTGCTTACTTACCTCACCCCATCACTGCAGAAGGCCCACGCCCCTTAATTACAGTAGCAGTAGGCTGTCCACTTGTCGTCGTCCCTCCAGTCACTGTGTAGGAGTCAGACTCTGGCACGAAGGGCTGATCAGGACACTGACTGCCCTGGACCCACCGTTGTTTGGCTGATTAGGGAACTAGCAGGTTACAACAAGGGATCAGGATCGACTTGGAACTAAACAGGATACAGCTAGACGCAGTACACATCTTTAACCAGGACAGCCTCGAACCAAAACAGCTCCCAACTCATTCTTCCACAGTGCCCGCAGGCATTGCCCTTCTCTAAGCCATGCCCACCGCCAGTTTCCACTAGGCCTCTTCCCTACCGGGCAACTGCTAGATCTGTTTTGGATTTACCAACAAGTGCCTGGAGTCACCTTATGTCCCCAGGAAGTCTCCAGCACACAGAGGTCTCACCTGTCAACATCCTGGTGGTACCAGTTTTGACTCATAGTTCTTCCATCCCTCTCTCTCTCTTCAATCTCCCTCTTTCTCTTCAATTTCTCTTTCTCTCTCTTCAATCTCTTTCTCTCTCTCTTCAGTCTCTTTTTCCTTATGTTCCTCTTTCTGGAAACTGCTGTCTGGTTGGTTCCTTTTATGTGTATATTACACAGTTCTGCGTGGTGGGTTTATGCACCCTATTTGGAGTCTGGGTGTGGCGCTGTGGGTTAATGCGCCAGACTGCAAAGCTGTTTGAACTGCAAGGTCGACGGTTCAAGCTCACCAGCTGCTCCTCAGAAACCCTACATAGGGTTGCTATGGATTGGAATCGACTCGACGGCACTTAACAACAATTTGAATAGTAGACTAACCAATCCCCTATGAGCTTGTGACCCAGTCAATCAGTTTAGTCAGAATTCTAAACCCAGGGCCAGAAAGACTGTGTCCAAGAGCACTGCTTTAATTGAATTGTCTAACCTTATTTCTACACTAGCTGCTTTAGCATTTCAGTTGTCTATTTATCTGTGTACAAGAAACACTATGCCTGGTGTTGTGTTTACACGCCTCAGAGGGTTGTCACTAAACATCCACCTGGAATCCATGTGTTTTCTTAACTGGCTTCATTCCAAATCAAGACGATGGAAGGGTTCACTGTTCTCTTCTTTCCTAGAAATGCAGGTTGATGACGATCTGCTTGGGCATGCGAGACAAGAAGGGAGGGAAGACGGCGTGGGACACCCCTGGGGACTTAGTGCATTGGCAAGTAGCATTCATTGGCACAAAAATAATTTTCCTTTAAGTGAAAATCATAGTTTACTTGACACCCATGAAAGAACTGTGAAACCAAACTTAATTTTACCAGCAGTCACCCAGAGTGGAACTGACGCGATAAAGAACCCTGCTAAGCTGAGTGGAGATGAGAAAGCCATTCTCCACACTGACCGTGAGCAATTTTGTACTGAAATAACATCCCCAGAGAGCAGAGGACCCAACAGCACTGAGTTCCAAGTCATCGACCATCAGCAAACTCACAGAACAGGGCAGCCGTGTGTATATAGTCCGAGCAGGAAGGCCTTGATGGAAAAGCCCTTCCTCACCGGTGATCAGAACGCTCGTGCTGGAGAGAAGTGTTACAGGTGTAGTCTGTGCAGGGAAGCCTTCTTCTCAAAGTTCAAGCTCATTGAGCATCATCACACAACTCACAAGGAACAAAAAACATTTAAATGCTCCGAATGTGGCAAAGCCTATCTCCATAAATCCCACCTCAGTAACCATCAGAAGACTCACATGGCAGAGAAACCCTTTACATGCAATGAGTGTGGGAAAGGCTTCATCCAGAAGACAGACCTCACGATTCATCAGCGGATTCACACTGGAGAGAAGCCCTATGTGTGCAGTGAATGTGGGAAAGGCTTCATCCAGACCACACATCTCATTATTCATCAGCGAACTCACACTGGAGAGAAGCCCTATATGTGCAGTGAATGTGGAAAAGGCTTCAAGCGTAAGGGAAGTCTCATTATTCATCAGCGAACTCATACTGGAGAGAAGCCCTTTATATGCAGTGTCTGTGGGAAAGGCTTCAACCATAAGGGAAATCTCATTATTCATCAGCGAACTCACACTGGAGAGAAGCCCTATGTCTGCGGTGACTGTGGGAAAGGCTTCAACCAGAAGTCATGTCTCATAGCACATCAGAGGTTTCACTCAGGAAAGACTCCCTTTTCATGCAGTGAATGTGGAAAATCTTATACCCAGAAGGCAACGCTCATTAACCATCGGAAAGTTCACACAGGCCTGAAACCCTTTCAGTGCAGTGAATGCTGGAAAGCCTTCAACACGAAGCCCAAGCTTACTGCTCATCAAAGATCGCACACCGGAGAGACACCATATAGATGCAATGAATGCGGACAAACATTTGCCTATGCATCTAGCTGTAACTCACATAAAAGAAAACACACAGATCCTGTCAGGGTGGACAAGTCCTCCACACCACATCCCAGCTCACTGTGGAGCAGCGGGCTATTGCAGGAGAGAAGCCCCACTGCAGTGACCATACAGATGCCTTCTGTAGCAGCTCAGACACCAGTGAGCGTCCATGGGCTACTGTCAAATAGGAACATTGTCCTGGGGGGACAGCCTGTCGGCAGAGTTGAGCCTGTGCCTCAGGGAATCCTCATGAACACTGTGAATGTGGTAGTGCCTTCGGTGACCAGTTACGTCTTACTTTATGTTCCACAAAGCCTGTAGCAGAAGCTGAGACGCATTCATTGGGGACAAAAGCTTCTACTTCACTGTGCGGATGAACGTGTCTCCTGAGGGAAAGCCCGTGATGCAGAGACCAGGAGAGACTCAGATGCAGATAGGTTCTTTGAGAGGGAGACATTCTGGTGTTTGCACAAACATACACATCAATGGTTCTTTCTTGTGTGAAATGAAATTCTGAGTTCATCTCTGTAGTGGAAATAAATACTGTGAAATTTTTAAAGAAAAAGGATCATTAGTGTTTTTGGAATGTTGTAAATGGAAAACCACATGGTTTGGTGGGAAGCGAGGAAGCACCGCATTGGAGGGATGTGAGTTTCCCCCGATCAGTAAGAAGGACCAACTGAAAACCAGATTGTATAGCATGTTTTAGTGAAATGAAATTGCTTGTACCTGGTGAAATGAAGTTGCTTTTATATGGCTTTTTTCCCCAGAGAAGGCTATTTTGGGATTTGCATAATATGTTTGGGTAGACTTTACAAATACAGTGTCTCTGGTCCACCAAAGGAATTGGACAGCCTGCTAAGAATGCAAGTAAGGTGCTTGGAACCACTGTGGGGCTTCTGTCGTTAGATGGCATTGTCTCAGTACTTGGATCACAGCAGCCTCCTCCCAGCCTGAACTCAGACTTCTGTGGACAGTCTCCTGTCGCCTCGGCACCTTGACCCTTGACCTCTGCCTTCTCCGACAAGTGTTAACAAAGCTCTTTTAGTGCCGCCTGTAGGAGTCCTGAGCTCTGGTAGCGTAGTGGTTACGAATCGGGCTGTGAACCTCAGGGTCAGCAGTTCGAAACTACCAGCTGTTCCGAGGGAGAAAGATGAGGCTTTCTGCTCCAGTGAAGATTTACAGCCTCGGAAACCCCGACAACAAAAACAACAACAACATAGGAGTCCTGATGTGGCGCTGTGGGTTAATGCGCCACACTGCAAAGCCACTTGAACTGCAGGGTCAGCGGTTCAAGCTCACCAGCTGCTCCTTGGAAACCCTTTACAGGGTCTGTATGGCTCGGTACTGACTCCATGACACTTAACAACAACAAATAGGAGTCCTGGTAGGCTAATGCGCTGGACTACAAAGTCAGTTTGAACCGCAAGGTCAGCAGTTCAAACTCACCAGCTACTCCTTGGAAACCCTATACAGGGCTACTATGGGTTGGAACCAACTCGAAGGCACTTAACAACAACATACAGGTTCCCTGGAGTCCTGGTATGGCGCTGCGGGTTAATGCACTGGACTGCAAGGTTGGTTTGAACCACAAGGTTGTTGGTTCAAGCTCACCAGCTGCTCCTTGGAAACCTACACAGGGTTTCTGTGAGTAAAAACCCAGTACAACACATAAGAACAGCATGAGGTGCTTCAAGGCACTCCACTCTGCCAGTGAGCACCCTACCTGAAGGCCCTCAGCTTTTGTGTTCCGGGGTCCGTGAGCCTGGCTCCCACTCTGTTAGCAAGTCTCCCACCCGAAAGCACCCACCTTTCTCCACCTCAGGCTGGGAAGCTCAGCACTGTTTTGGGCTGGTCTCTCGTTTCTGCCACCCCTGTTTCTCTTCTGCTCCTTCTCACTGTGTCTCCCCATCTGTCACAGGCTCGCCATTGTCCTGACTTTGGTCCTCAGTCACGGAGGTTCAGTGCAGGGACCTAGGGACCAAGTGACACATTCCACTCTTGGTCCTTCTTGATGCCAGTGAGTCTCTCTTGGCCCATCTGGAATGGCGCATTTTAAATCCAGCAGAATGGTAAAACTGACCAGTCCCCACCATAGGGTGCCATACACCTTACTTGCATGGTCCCAACTGGTGTGACACAGTAGGTCAGCGGTTCAAACCCATCCAGCTCCTCCTCAGACTATCCAGGGTCGCTCTTAGTCAACACTAACTCAGCAGCACTCAGCGATGACATTGAAGACCCCCAAAGGTGCTAATACTGTTTTCAATACTAGCAACTCTCAGGTCCCTTGATGGGCCACCAGCACCCCACATTTGTAGAGTACTACCCAGTCTTCACAAGAGTTACAAAGACTATGGCTGGAATGGCTGTGTTAGGAAATTCACTGCCCAAAATGCCTCTCGGTCCTCAAAATGGCATCTTTGATTTTAAACCTTTTAAAGACGTCTTTTGCAGCAAATTTGCCCAATGCAATGTCATTTCATTTCTCGACTTGCTTCCATAAACACCGATTGTTATCACAAGTAAAATGAAATCGTTCTGAAACGGCGAGAGGTAAA